CCTCGGTGCCAGGGAAGGTTATGGAGCAGATCGTCTTGAGGGAGATCATGCGGCATGTGCAGGGTGACCAGGGGATCAGGCCTAGCCAGCATGGGTTCATGAAGGGCAGGTCCTGCTTGACCAACCTGATCTCCTTCTATGATCTAGTGACCCATCTGGTGGATGAGGGAAAGGCTGTTGATGTGGTCTACCTAGACTTCAGCAAAGCCTTTGACACTGTCTCCCACAGCATTCTCCTGCAGAAGCTGGCATCCAGAGGCTTGGATGGATACACTCTTGGCTGGGTAAGGAGCTGGTTGGAGGGCCGGGCACAGAGAGTGGTGGTAAATGGAGTCAAATCCAGCTGGCGACCGGTTGTGAGTGGTGTTCCCCAGGGGTCGGTGCTGGGTCCTGTCCTCTTCAATATCTTTATTGATGACCTCGATGAGGGCATCGAGTGCACCCTCAGTAAGTTTGCAGATGACACCAAATTGGCTGGAAGTGTGGATCTGCCTGGGGGTAGCGAGGCCCTACAGAGGGATCTGGACAGGCTGGAGAGCTGGGCTGAAGCCAATGGGATGAGTTTCAACAAGGCCAAATGCCGGGTCCTGCACTTTGGCCACAACAACCCCAGGCGACGCTACAGGCTTGGGGCGGTGTGGCTGGAGGACTGCATAGAGGAAATGGACCTGGGGGTATTGATTGATGCTCGGCTGAATATGAGCCGACAGTGTGCCCAGGTGGCCAAGAAGGCCAATGGCATCCTGGCTTGCATCAGAAACAGTGTTGCAAGCAGGAGCAGAGAGGTGATTGTTCCCTTGTATTCAGCACTGGTGAGGCCGCACCTCGAGTACTGTGTCCAGTTTTGGGCCCCTCACTGCAAGAAAGATATTGAGGCCCTGGAACGTGTTCAAAGGAGGGCAACAAAGCTGGTGAGGGGTCTGGAACACAGGCCATATGAGGAGAGGCTGAAGGAGCTGGGAATGTTCAGCCTGGAGAAGAGGAGGCTCAGGGGAGACCTCATTGCTCTCTATAACTTCCTGAAGGGAGGTTGTAGTGAGCTGGGGGTCGGCCTCTTCTCTCGTGTCATTAGTGATAGGACCAGGGGGAATGGCTTCAAGCTACGGCAGGGGAGATTCAGGCTGGACATGAGGAAGTATTACTTTTCAGAAAGGGTGGTCAGGCACTGGAATGGACTGCCCAGGGAGGTGGTGGAGTCACCGACCCTGGGGGTGTTCAAGGAAAGACTGGATGTTGTGTTGAGGGACATGGTTTAGTAGGAGCTATTGGGAATAGGTGAACGGTTGGACTGGGTGATCTTTTAGGTCTTTTCCAACCTTGGTGATTCTATGATTCTATGATTCTATGATTAATCGTGTTTTGGTGTAGACTTCAGGTGTGACATTTTTTTATTTTAGTAATATTTGCCACATTACGCATCATCTGTTCTCAACTCGCAGTTGCTCCTTTCTGCCCTCCATTCATTGCTCTCTCTGTGAAGCCAGTCCAATTCTTTGTATGACACTCTGTAAAATGTATTCAGGAGCAGAATTTAAATGGTGTTCATTCCTTCTTCCTGCTGATGTTGTTATCAGGTTGTTTTTGGCCTTAACTTCCACTATCTGTTATTGACCTGTTTTCACAAACAGCAGTTTCCATGCTATTGAAGAGGGTAGTAAAGCATTGGGTTGAATATGAAAGTGAAAGAATGAATAGTAGCTATACAATTTGTCTTAGCTACTCAGAGTTCTGTGAAGTGTTTCCATAGTCAAGAGATGCACGGCTTGTTATCATCATAACAAAAGTCTGCAAAATCATTGTGTCACTTTTCATTTCATCATTTTTCAGATTTTTTACCATCTCTTTGAATAAACATATGACAGCCCATAGTTTTGCCTTTTTTGCTTGCCTGGGCTATACTGAGTGAACAGGAATTGACATAGATCACATAAAATATATAATAAAAATGCTAACTATATATATTCATGTGTATTAAAACCTAAAAAACAAGACAGGCTGAGGGAGCTGGGCTTGTTCAGCCTGGAGAAAAGAAGGCTGCAGGGTGACCTCACTGCAGCCTTTCAGTACCTAAATGGAGCCTACAAACAGGAGAGGAGTCAACTCTTGGAAAGGGTTGATAACTGCAGGACAAGGGGAAATGGTTTTAAGTTGAGGGAGGGGAGATTGAGGTTGGATGTCAGGGGGAAGTTCGTTAGAGAGAGAGTGGTGAGGTGCTGGAACAGCTGCACAGAGAGGCTGTGATGCCCCGTCCATCCCTGGAGGTGTTCAAGGCCAGGTTGGATGGGGCCCTGGGCAGCCTGGGCTGGTATTAAATGAGGAGGTTGGTGGCCCTGTGTGTGGCAGGGGGTGGGAGATTCATGATCCTTGAGGTCCCTTCCAACCCTGGCAATTTTGTGATTTTATGACCTCATAATCAATATCTGTAATTCTAATGAACTCCTAGAATTGGTGATGATTCAGACCCTTCTACTTCGTGAAATGCACAGATTTGATGACAATTTGTGTGACGTATCTATTTTTATGTCTTTCGCATATAAGTTTTCTTGATGCCAGATGCAATGATATTTCATCAAACATAAGTTACATCATCTTTTACTGATCTTATAAGTCCCTCTTCCAGTCATCATTGGGGCACCATCAGTAGCTAGACCAGATAGATTGGCAAAGGCTAAATTGCTTTAATATAGTTTTTACTGCTTTATACAAATTTAGTTGTAACTTTCATGGCACCAAAGAAGCCATTTCCTCAGTGTCACTGTATGTTATCAGTACCTCTAATGAAATCTCATGATGAGCTATATCTGTAGCATCAGTATTTTTATATATTGCCAGAGCATAAAATTTGAAATTATCAGCTTTACTCTCCAAGTCTACTGAAAAAAATGTTTCCTGTTTCTTTATCAGAACACACTTTATCTGTCGTGCTTTCCATACCTTGCTTAACAAACTCACAGTGAGGGAATGGTTTTGATTTTTTTGCAGTAGGATTTGCTGTCATGTAACTTGTTTTTAAAATGGAGTCTGTTTGAGTTTTAACTTTCTAAAAATATTTTGTTGATGAGACTGACTTTCATCAGTTCTGCTGTTTTGTGTTTACGAAGAATTTCTACTATGCATTGAGTTTGGCAGTATGTTTCTGCATGTAATGTAATCTTTGAAAACTGCAATCTTTGAAAACTAACAATTTCCTTGCAAACTAATTACTGTGCAATATTACTTGCCTTCAGTGCACTGTACCCCCCAGTGTCTAGGGCCAGGCCGTATTGCTCAGAAGGGCAGAGCTGCCAGTGTGATGACACAGCGGTAGAGGGCATGGGCTGCAGTTCGAGCTGAGCTGGGTTGCATGAAGCCCATAGGCCTTGGATTTCATATGCCTGTCAGCCCGTCTCTCTTCTTTCCTACTCTTTATGTAAATATTCTGTTTAGATGAATATGTTGAGGCCATCTACTGTTAAAAAATTGTGAGTAGTGGATAAGGCACTGCACTGCCTTTTCCAGGATATTTTTCTCAGGTAAATTGATACATTCTACTATAAAGGATATTCAGCTAAGCAGCAGCATACATTGTAAGATATTATTCTATTAACATCAGTGTCTCAAAGCTTGCTGGAGGCTCAGGTGGACTTGTTCAAGTCCAGGCAAGTCCTGGGCAAAGATTGTGAAATCCTTTGTCTGGGGGACACAGATGGACAAGGTCAGGGGCAAGGAGAGATGAGCTGCAGCTAAATGGCTGTGAAGTGCTCTTTTGTGGGGATCATCTCAGGATGATGGCCGTCTCAGGGGGTCCTCACAAGTCTCTTACTCAAGCGCCCACGGATATCACGTAGGCAGGAGGAAAAGGAAGATAAATGGGGAATCGAAAACCATGAGGATAGGTTTCTGACAACAGATTCCTCACGAAGTGATGCCTGCATGCTGAAGTAGAAAAAAAGATGTCTGCCATCACATTCCTCACTACGGAATTCCCGCATGCTGACGGACTCTCCTGGGCTGCTGCCTGAGCGCTGCTCCTTCCTCCCGCATTGGCTCCATGACCGCCTCCTGCTGCCTGCTTGCTGCCCAACGCCGCCACGTTGCTGCTGCTCCCCCGCGCTGCTTCTGCCTCGGACCTCAAACGCCGTGCAACGGGACGCTGCTGGATCCTGCTGGTGACCATCCCCGCTTTACGCAACTCTTGCTTCTTTCCTGTCTTTTCTATCGCCCTCCTTCTCTTCCCCGTCTCCCTGATTAGGATTTGTAATAAACTGGTTGGACCAACATTTGAACCGTTGTTTCTTAATCTCACGTTGGGTATACAGATATTAAAAGAACCTCATCTCCCTCCTATAAATTGGAGCGAGGCATACATACATTCTTCATTTCACTATGCTTTCACCTGAATCAAGAATCTAACTCATTCTCATCTTTCTTAAGCAACCTTCGTGAAGATTGGCGTACAAGTGAATATGTTCAGAGCAAAAATGAAAATTCTATACATTGTTCTCAGATTTTTTTCAGAAGTAGGCATGGAATTTAGGGCTAGTTCTATGTTTGTAGAAAGTTTTGAGCACAAGTATTGTATAGGAAGATTTCTTCTGCAGAAATCTGAACTGGGATGTTGTTTCATGAAATACATGTCAAAAATGTGAAGAGAAATTGCAATGTGATCCTTACAATATGCTAAAAAGATTAATCTTTTCTCAATTTCCTTAAGTTGATTTTTAAAATGAGGATTAATGAGAAACAATGACATGAGAATGGGAGACAAGAAAAGTAGCAGAAGACTTCCACTCAATATTTAAATTAAAAAAAAAAAAAAAAAGAAGAAGAATCATCAGCTATATTGTATAAATTCTTGCAGGTAATTCCAGTGACTTAACAGCATACAATGAAATCTAATAACTGTACCCCATTTTGCCTTTTCTCTCTTGTCTAGAAAACATATCTTCTTCCAGTCCGAAAAAATTCTGCCTTCATTATCAGTATGCGAAGTTAATGCTATTCCTTCTGCTGCATTCCAGGGTTTCCTCTACAGATGAATGACTCGGATCACTCTCTATTTCACCATTCATTTCAAGGATGCATGCAGTTTATTCATGTGGATGATCAGCTGGTGGATTTGCAAGCAGTAGAGCAAGGCCAGCTGGGAAGCTTTGCCAATGTCAGCATTGACATGTGTGCCATTATTGACAGGTAAGTGACAGAATCACTAATATTCTAATACTGATACACATCCTACATATTCTGAAACTATACAGTGATATTGAGAGATGTTTAGATGATAAAGATGATGTCTTTAGTTTTCTAGCCAGCATGGGTTCATGAAGGACAGGTCCAACCTGATCTCCTTCTATGATCTAGTGACTCATCTGGTGGATGAGGGAAAGGCTATTATGTAGTCTACCTAGACTTCAGCAAAGCCTCTGACACTGTCCACACAGCATTCTCTTGCAGAAGCTGGCAGCCAGTGGCTTGGACAGGTATGCTCTTGGCTGGATATGGATAAGGAGCTGGCTGGAAGGCTGGGCCCAGAGAGTGGTGGTGAATGGAGCTAAATGCAGCTGGCAACCTGTCACAAGTGGTGTTCCCCAGGGGTCAGTGCTGGAGCCTGTCCTCTTCAGTATCTTGATTGATGACCTGGATGAGGGCATCGAGTGCACCCTCAGTAAATTTGCAGATGACACCAAATTGGCTGGAAGTGTGGATCTGCCTGGGGGTAGCGAGGCCCTACAGAGGGATCTGGAAAGCTGGGCTGCAGCCAATGAGATGAGGTTCAACAAGGCCAAATGCTGGGTCCTGCACTTTGACCACAACAACCCCAGGCAACGCTACAGGCTTGGGGCAGATTGGCTGGAAGATGTAGAGGAAATGGATCTGGGGGTGCTGATTGATGCTTGGCTGAACATGAGCCAACAGTGTGCCCGGCTGGCCAAGAAGGCCAATGGCATCCTGGCTTGCATCAGAAATGGTGTTGCCAGCAGGAACAGGGAAGTGATTTTTCCCCCTGTACTAACTGTGGTGAGGCTGCACATTGAGTACTGTGTCCAGTTTTGGGCCCCTCACTGCAAGAAAGGCATTGAGGCTCTGGAGCGGGTCCAAAGAAGGGTGACAAAGCTGGTGAGGGGTCTGGAGCACAGGGCTGATGAGGAGGGGCTGAAGGAGCTGGGATTGTTCAGCCTGGAGGAGGCTCAGGGGAGACCTCATTGCTCTCTATAACTTCCTGAAGTGAGGTTGCAGTGAGCTGGGCGTCGGCCTCTTCTCATGTAACTGGTGATAGAACTAGAGGGAATGGCTTCAAGCTGCGCCAGGGGAGATTTAAGCTGGATGTTAGGAAATACTACTTCTCTGAAAGGGTGGTCAGGCACTGGAATGGGCTGCTCAGGGAGCTGATGGAGTCACCGACCCTGGAGGTGTTTGAGGAACGTTTGGATTTTGTGTTGAGGGACATGGTTTAGGGAGAACTATTGGTGATAGGTGGATGGTTGGACTGGATTATCCTGTAGGTCTTTTCCAACCTTAGTGTTTTTGTGATTCTGTGGATTTTACAGTTCTTGGCGGGAAATTGCATCTCTAGTTTCTACTTTCTCAGGCAGAGGGAGTGAAAAGTGATTGTAAGCCAAATTCAATTCACATGTCAATAATACGACTGTCTTGAATAGAGAAAACTATTCTGAAAGTCACACGTTTTGTAAGTCTCTTAAATAGATGTTATAGTGATCATTTTGCAGCCAGAAGTTATTTCCTGGCTCCATTGCCTTCTGGCATCCATGAATTCCTCAGAGAACTAAAATAACCGTGCACACTTGCATTTATTACCTGGAAACTTGTGCATAAACTTGATTAAAATAATGCTTAGTTGTTCTGGTTTGTTTGTGTTTTCCTGTTTTATTTTCTGCCAGACTGAGAAGAGTAATTAAGGAGTAACTCATTAATTCCAAAATCTTAATACAGGAGCAGGCTTTTGCTTTGAGATTTACATATTAAACTTGTGTTGACTTCTGCTGCTTCTAATTTACAAGGTCTTGTTGTTTAGCAAATCTAAAACTATTAAATGAAATGTATTAGGACAGACAGGGAAGGAGTAAGTGACTTAGCTTGGCTTCTCATGATAATTACCTAAGTTTTAAATAATTGCAAGTCTGCTGGAAATTTGAACATAGTTTTTTTTTTTCTAATTTAGTTTGAAAAAAAGCAAGGATCACAAGACTGAAGAATTCTAGAATAATTTAGGTTACAAGAAGCATCAGGAGTTTATGTGGTCCAAATTTTGCTCTAAGTGAGGCCAATTTCAAAACTGCAACATTTTGCTTGGGGACATTTCCAGTCAAATTATAAGTATCTCTGGTGGTCGGAATTCCACAAATTATCTGACTCTGGATATCCTCAGCAAATGCCATAAACATGAATATTCTTCCTTTCTCCTCCTTTTCTTGAGGTTTTAATTGCTGAGTATGGTGTCATATGAGATAGAATATTCCTTTGGTCAGTCCTCTCCCTGTATTTTGCTCATCCCCAATTTACACTGGGAGACAGGATTCTGTGGAGGGAGAACCTCATTTCTGTGCAAGTTCTACTCAACAGTGGCCAAAATAATGGTGTATTCCAAAGTGCTTTAGCCACAGCGTCAACTGTACCAGCTGCCATTGAAGGATTTTAACTACATAATGTCATCCCAGTCAGAATGGTACAACAGTTTAAGGTTGAAGAGTGTGCTTTGTGGAGTGGTAGTGACTTGGTTTTGGCGTGTCAAGGACTCTTTGGGTTGTTGCTTCTCGTGGATGTGTTAAGAGTTGAAAATCAGCAAAAAGGGGAAATAGATGAAGGGCTGAAGTGAAAGAGAAGAATATGTTGTCTCCTACAATTCTAATGTTAGAAAAGGTCTCATGTTGTTAGTATTTGATAATTTGAATTGATGATTCTTATTTTGAATCTTTGATTTTTTTTTTACTGGAAATAGACTTGGAAGCAATTGTGTGAAGGTACATCTAATTTAGTCTCTGCTTTTTCCCCAGCTGAATAAACTTAAACTCAAGGAGTAGTTTGTAGTGATCCTACTTAGTCTGACAGACATTGGCATTAACTCCATCGTCAAATTGAAGCTAGTCAGAATTACCCTTTTCAATGTATTACACTGTTACTAAAAATGCCTGACATAGTGGTTTTATTACAATCAGAAATGCATTGTAATTTTGAAAAACAGAAGCTCCCTATGTGTCAAGCACTTTACTTTCAAAGTGAAGTTCATGTACATATTTCCTGATACAATATATTCTCTATTCAAGTAGTTTCGGTATTGTAATACAAAGATACGAGGAATACTAAATATATGAGGAATACATTGTGGTACATTGAACTATTAATTTAACTTACACATTTAACATGCATTTTATAATTTTACATAACAAAAATAGACATGTGTTTATAATACAGTGTTATAAGCAATACTTTTCAGATATTTATGTATATATTTATATTAAGAGATACTCCATGTTTCTTCTGCCACCTTCAACTTTGCTGTCCCCTTTTATATACGCTAAGTATATATAAATGCATAATTGATATAAAAGTACATGTAAACAATAAATACAACCACTATAAAAATTTGTGTATATGTAGCTAAAATTCAAAGCATGTCTTCTGTGCTTTCTATACATAAGCAGATTATGTGGCAAGCAGAGTAACAATTCTGTGACCACTGGAAATTAGAAGAGTGTGCATATAAACTTACAGCTCTTTTTTTGTAAGAATTGAGATGCCACCTAGTTCATTGCTTTCCCATGATCTGTTTTATTTCTTTGTAGCTTGCACTTCAAGAGCAGCTCTTACTGAGAAGTAGTAGTGTCAGGCTTTAAAATATAACTGGATTTTATAGTCTGCCTTATTTCAAGTAAGATTTTTACAATTATTCTTTTAACATGATGCCATTACATATAACTGTATTTATTGTATATTTAACTAAGTGTCATGTGCGTTGTATCTTATCTTAACTTCGTTACCTTTGAAAGAGGAGGATATTTATGCCTGTGATACTGGGATCCTTCTGCTTTTTGGAAAGAAGAACAATTATTTCACTCTACCAGGAAGAATTCATTCTTCATCAATATGGAAATGGCATTCATAGCCACGCTTCTATGAAGGCACCCACTGGGCAAGAAGATAAGCTGTCACACTGAATTATTCTTGTTGCAGACCCTCCCCCATTTGCTTGGAGGAAAAAAAACCCAAAAACTTGAAGTTGGGAATGATGGAATTTTTCATGATTAACCAGAATGGATAGGGGACTGTTTTATCTAATATATGATGAAAGTTACTCAGCATGATGAGTTCTTGTGCTGCATCAGTGTGGAGGTAACTGATACTGAAGACACGAGTTCTGCTAGCTGAATGCCCACTCAGTATGGAAAAGATTTCTGCATTTCAGTTTTCTTTTTTTTTTTTTTTAAGATGCAGGAAGAATGGTTACATTAGTGTTATGCTTATACTTGGGAATCAGAGATGCTGATCAAAGGGTTTTTTTAAAATTATTGTTTTTATTTTTAGTCCTCTCCTCTCAGATGCTTTGCTATTACATCTAGACTTACAGATTGAGATCTTATTAACAGGGAACACTGATGCTAAAGGGCATCTTTTTACCACTGGCCAAACAGTACAAGTGCTTTATGTCTGTGTGTATGTGTATATATATATAGTTAAAATGCTACAGAGGGGGGAAAAAAGAAGTCCCTCTATCTGTACCTTGACTTTAATTGTATCAGCATTGGAAGTTGTATTGTTGTCACAGTGGTCAACATGCTGTACTTCTTGTGGCAGAACAGGTCCTTGTACATCTCCTGTATGTTAACAGAGTTGTTACAGTGCAGATGGTACAGTTGTACTTAAGGATTTTTAACAGAGGATATTGAAAGAGAATTGTTCATAACCAACCTATCAGAGCTTCAGAGAACTCTTAAAGTCACCGGTCCTGATTATGGATAAAATAGAGTTCTCAGGATCACAAGGAGAAGACACTAAAATGATTTGAAAATAGTGTCCAGTGTGTTACTGTAAGTTATGTAGGATATATGCAACTCTAAAGAAAATCTGTTGGTGTACAATGCATGGGTCATTCTGTATCACAGTGAAATGAATTAGATGCTAACTTTGTGATTTCATGTTAAAGTTAATGCAAGTAGCCAGATGTGGCAGTGCATTTA